TTTCACAGACATAGGAACAGACATTTCAAAAATTGATATGGAACCATAAATGACCCCAAATAGCTGCAGCAATTCTGAGAAAGAAGAACAAAGCATGAGGAATCATGATACCTGACATGAAACTATATTACAAGTCCACTGTAATCAAAACAGTCTGGTAGTGGTATAAGAACAGACACATAGATCAGAGGAACAGAATAGAGAGCCCAGAAATAAACCCATGTCTCTGTGGTCAATTAGTATTCAACAGAGGGTGCAGAAGCATAAAGTGGAGTAAAAACAGCCTCTTCAACAAATGGTGTTGGAAGAGCTGGACAGCTACATACAAAATATTGAAATGTGACCACCAGTTTACACCATATACAAAAATAAACTCGAGGTGGATAAAAGACTTAAATATAAGTCACAATACTATAAAAGTCCTAGAGGAAAACATGGGCAGGAAACTCTCAGATATCTCACACAGCAATTTTTCACTGATATGTCCCCAAGGACAAGGGACATAAAGGAAAGAATAAACAAATGGGACTTCCTCAAAATAAGAAGCTTCTACATGGCTCAAGAAAACATCAGCAAAAAGAAAAGGGAACCAACTGTGTAGGAAAATATACTTCCCAAAGATACCTTGGACAAGGGTTTGATCTCCAAAGTATATAAAGAACTCACATGACTCCACTCCAGGAAGACAAATAATCCAATTAAAAAATGGGCAAAGGACCTGAACACACACTTCTCCAAGGAGGACATACACAGGGCCTATAGGCATATGAAAGGATGCTCAGCATCAGTAGCCATCAGAGAAACACAAATGAAAATCACACTGAGATACCACTTCACACTGGTCAGAATGGCCATCATAAAACAAATCAACAAACAGCAAGTGCTGGTAAGGCTGTGGAGAAAACGGAACCCTAGTACGCTGTTGGTGGGGATGTAGACTGGTGCAGCCACTGTGGAAAACAGTTTGGAATTTCCTCAAAAAGCTAAAAATGGAACTGCCTTTTGACACAGTGATTCCACTGCTGGGATTATACCCTAAGAATCCCAAAACACCAATTCACAAGAACCTGTGCACACTAATGTTCACGGCACTACAATTTACAATAGCCATATTGTAGAAGCAACCTAAGTGCCCATCGGTAAATGAGTGGATCAAAAAACTATGGTACATTTACACAATGGAATACTATGCAGCAGAAAGAAAGACAGAGCTACTACCCTTCGTGACCACATGGATGAAACTGAAGAGCATTATGCTAGTGAAATAAGCCAGGGAGTGAAAGAAATATGCCATATGATCTCACCTATAAGTGGAACCTAATCAACAAAACAAACAAGCAGGAAAAACATAACCATAACATTGAAAGAAAAAACAAACGACAGTAAAGAGAGAGAATGAGGGAGGAGGGTAATGGGGATAAGAAAGAGAAGGGTCAAGTCAAGGAACATGTATAAAGGACCCATGGACAGAGCCAAAGTGAGGAAGGATTGAGAGTGGGATGTGGGAATGGTTGGGGCAGGGGGAAGTGGTGGTGGGAAAATGGAGACAATTGTATTTGAACAGTAAAAAAATTGATAAAAATAAAACAAAACAGATCAACATGGAAACTAAAACCATTTTTGGAAAACATGGGGGTAAATCTTCATGACCTGGTGTTTGGTGATGGATTCTTAGATATAACACCAAAAGCATGATTCATAAAATAGTTTATGATTGTTTGAAGGAATCTTTTTTTAGCTACTTGCTAATTCTGTAACCTTTTATTTGACTAAAACCAAAAAACCACCTACTAAGCAGGTGCACATACACAGTGCCATGTTCTAATACATGGACAGTGAAGGCAGTACACTGGCTGCCCATGGCAGCACATGAAGCCATTATGCCTGACACTACACACCTGTTTCTTCTGGGCATAGAGCTTCTGTGACAGTTGCCTTCATCCTTTGGTGTTTATTTCCCTGCAGGGTTAGCATGCTTCATTGGGTTTCATTTGTAAATTGCTCTTTGACCAAGACGATGACGTTGTTTATCACTCACATGATTTCCCTTTTCATTTCCCTTACCCATGTGGAAATAAGAGTCATAAGCAGAAATGGGCAAATGCATTCAGATGACTGAAAGTCTGAAATGTCACCAAGGGCATTTTATTTGCTCTTTGAATTCCTGTCCATTATGCTTTCTCCAAATGGAGTAGTTTCAGACAGATATCAGGGAATCCTATTTCTAAGCTGTGGACTTATTTGTCTCTTGGTAATGAAACTCTTAAAGAATAATTTATTCTACCCCTTCCATCCCAAGAAATGCCCTGTTCCTCTCCACATATTTCATTTGTGCAGATATTGAGTCTTGCTGTGAGTCCCTGAGACCCTCTCCTGCCCCAGTGTGGAATGGTGACTCCTTTACCTGGGTGTAGATGTGCCATCTGCTTCAGCACCTGCACCAGCAGTGCTGGAGTGGGAGTTTCCATAATGCTGTGAAACAAGATTCCAGAAAAAGGATTCTGCTTCTTTGGAGAAACATGAGCCATGAAGTTCCTTATGATCGGGCAAATGTTTCCCACTGAGAAACGAATCTCATTTTTTAAGTTCAACTAAGAAGGTGCATAAAATGAATTTTTAATTAATTTGAGATTCTAAAAGTACACTTTCTTACCTAGGGAATTTGCTCTCTGTTGAAAACTGTTTCTTAATTTTCTTGTAGGATATTCTTACTTATGTTGTAATATCAGTAATAGTCCTTATTTCTGCTTAAATTCCCCACGTACTTTTTACTAGTAGTAATTTTAAATATAGGCTCTCAAGGACCAACCTTAAATATGGAGTTTGTTTAAAGTTAGTAAAGTTTAAATGTTGTAGTAAAGGCATCATGGGAAACTGAGGCAAACGCTGCGTGGGGGCCAGCCATGTGAACTTCAGGCACTCATGTGCCTGTGACGCAGACTGTCAGTGGGGCATGTGGGGCAGAGTAGTGCACCACACTGTCAAGCTTTCCCAAATCTTTACTTTCAGTGAATTGAACTCTTCCAATCTATACTGTATTTCTGGTTTTATGTATTTGTTTTTGGAAGCGGGCTTAATTCAGGTATAATACAGAGAAAGCTTGTGTTAACTGATCCTTCCTTCACCTCTTTCACCACAATCTAATGTTTCTTTCAAATGGTGAGTTTTGTGAGTCATGAAATAAAAATTCATTTTCCCCAGAACTTAGGCCATGTAGACCTAGGATAGCCTCTAAGCTGATTTTCAGTATTTTAAAAGTCTCATTTTGAATTCTTTATTATAAGACACACATTTTTACATTTTGGGACATTTTGGGATGAACAGCCCATGCCCTTTCCTCAGTTCTTTCCCTCATGCATCTGTTTGTGTACATGCTCTTTAGAAGTACAAGCAACTATAGAGGCAGCTTAGTCCAAACAAATTCAGGAAAAGGAAAGTAGAGGGTAGATTTAAAGTCATTCTAGACAGCTTTCCTATTTAGGGGAACAGATATGTGCATTATCAAGAGAAACCAGTCCAGCTGTCTCTCCTAGACAATGTAATGGTTCTTCTATAAAAGAGTGGACATCCAGAGACCAGAAAGCCTTTCGTGAAGCCAACATGGAAGAGAAGAACCACAATAAACAAACAGAACCAGAAATTTCTAAGCTAAATAACAATAGCAGTAACAAACCTCAATTAGCATTCTTGTTGAAATTCAGTGTTGAATCACCTTTCTTAAGATAAGTGTTTTGACAAAAATGGAAAAATTGGAGTACAAGAAAAACTATTGAAAATATAAGGGAAAAGATTCTAGAGTAGTCCAAAACAGATGTAAGTGGGTTCATTTTCTAATACAAGTTCCAGAAAGAGGGAAAAAGTATAAGGGTTGGAATGAGGTACTTTTTAAAAATAGACGAAAATTTCTTAAAGTTGCAGAAAGCATGAGGTTTTTAACCCTTTGTAAACTCCCCCCCCCCACTAAAACACCCCCACAATTAAAAAGCAGTCCTAGATATATACTGGTGAAAAATCATAATTCCCAGAATAAAGAGAATATCTTAATTCTGCCAGAGAGAAAGGAAAAACCCAATTGTCCTACAAAGGAAAGAGAATCACACTGGCTTTGGATTTCACATTAACAACCCTAGAGAGGAAAGTTGAAAATTTAAAAAATCCTTAAAATATGAAGGCAAAAAATTTAAACTTACTTTGGCTGCAGCGTTCTATCAATCAAGTGAGAGGACATGAAGTCAGAGACTTTAATATCATCTAAAATCAGTAATGTTTATATAAAAATATAAAATGGATCCAAGAAAGCTGATATATTGAAATACAAAAATTAGCAACTGAGAGTTATCTAGGCAAAAAAAAAAAAAAAAAAAAAAAAAAGAAAGACAATCTTTTCCTCTCAGTGGGTCCAGACCTATTATCTACTTCTACAGCAAAAAATCTTTGCAAAATCCTGTAATGCTGTTTATTGATAGGGGTTAGAAACAATCTGCAGAAAAAGCATAGAAGACAATTTAAAATTTAAAACAAGTTGTAAATACTACATCTGGAAAACTTAAATACTGGTATATGCCTAACATGCATAGTACAAGTAATAGAAATTACATAGTAGAGGAAGGTAATTGTGCTAATTCTGGAGACAGATATGACCCAAAGTCACTAAGTCAAGACATTAAGTATTGGGGTGATCACATCAGAAGTTATATAAATGTCTAATCACTATGTTGTACACCTAAAACTAATATTAAATATAACATTTTTATCAATTGTATAAAAAATAAAAAGACATTAAGATATATTACTTAAGCAATAAATGTGTTATTTAAACTTATATTGGTGAATGCCAGGAAATGATGACTGAGTTCGCATTCTTTTTAACAATAGTTATTTTTAGAAAGAGACTAGAAGTGTCAAAGGAAGTAGCCTGAGTGTGAATAAAAGATTGTATAATTTCTCTTTCCTTTTTAAAACAAATACATGCATTGTAATATTTTTCACTTGTTTTACAGTTTTTAAGCTGAGACAGCAGGCGGGGTTTGTGTGCCATCACCTGCCCTTTCTTCTCCCTTTGAGTACAAACCTGCGTGTACATCCTGGCTCCCAGTGGCCCCTGCTTTCTTCCAGATTTGCTCCATTGGATATCCATCAACATACCTCTGCAGGTAATCTTTTTGACCCCTTTAACCTCTACATCACCCTGTACCTATTGTCGCTTCCCCTTTCCTTAATCCTTGACTATCTTTATAGAGAAACTCACACTTCTTGTCTTTGTAGCCGTCCCATCAATTCCCATAACTCTCAAGCCCAAAGCAAAATGACTTTAATTCTCTTCACATCCCCCAACATATCACTTAACTGCAACTTTGCCAGCATTCATTCTACCTCCTATTCTCCAAAATCAAAGCCTTACCTTCCATTTCTATCATGCATGATATCTAATGATAGGATTTTTGACTGAAATCTAATAATAAATCTTATTGGATTTCCCAATTTTCTACTTTTTAAATTATATTTTATTGACTATGCTGTTACAGTTGTCCCAATTTTCCAGCTTTTCCCGCCTCCACCCAGCACCCCCCACTCCCTCAGGCAATCCCCACACCATTGTCCATGTTCATGGGTGATGTGTATATGCTCTTTGGCTACACTCTTTCCTATGCTGTATTTTACATCCCCACGACTATTCTTTAACTATCAATTTGTACTTAATCCCTTCACATTTTTTGCCCATTCCCCACACCTCCTCCCATCTGGCAATCATCACAAAGTTCTCTGTATCTATGATTCTGTTTCTGTTCTTGCTTGCTTATTTTTTTTCTAGATTCAGTTGTTGATAAATATGTATTTATTACCATTTTATTGTTCAAATTTTGATCTTCTTTTTCTTCAATAAGCCCCTTTAATATTTCACATAATAGTGGTTTGATGATGATGAACTCCTTTAGCTTTTTCTTCTCTGAGAAGCTGTTTATCTGCCCTTCAATTCTAAATGACAGCTTTAATCTCGAATACAGTAATCTTGGTTGTAGGTCCTTGATTTTCATCACTTTGAATATTTCTTGCCAATCCCTTCTGGCCTGCAAAATTTCTTTTGATAATCCCATCAGAACTCCTTTGTAGGTGACTCTCTGCTTTTCTCTTGCTGCTTTTAAGATTCTTTCTTTATCTTTAACCCTTGGCATTTTAGTTATGATGTGTCTTGCTTGGTGTGGCCCTCTTTGGGTCCAACTTGTTTGGGACTCTATGAGCTTCCTGGACTTGTATGTCTGTTTCCTTCATCAAGTTAGGGAAGTTTTCTGTCATTATTTTTTCAAATAGGTTTTCAATTCCTTGTTCTCTATCTTCTCCATCTGGCACCGCCCTGATGTGAATGTTGGTATACTTGAAGTTGTCCTAGAGGCTTCTTAACATTGTCCTTGAGGCTTCTTAACATTGTCCTCATTTTTTGTTTTTTTTTTTTTCTTTTCACTTTTCTGATTGGGTGTTTTTTACTTTCTTATATTCCAAATTGATGATTTGATTCTTTGCTTCATCTGCTCTACTGTTGATTCCCTGTAAATTGTGCTTCATTCCAGTCAGTGTACCCTTCATTTCTGACTGGTTCTTTTTTATGGTTTCCATGTCCTTTTTGCTGTTGGTTCTCTCTGAGTTCATCTGCTCTCCCCCTATATTTACTGAGTATCCTTGTCACCAGTGTTTTGAACTCTGCATCCAATATATTACTTGTCTCCACTTGTTTAGGTATTTTTCTAGAGTTTTGCTCTGTTTTTTCATTTGGGCCATGTTTCTTTGTCTCCTTATTTTGGCAGCCTCCCTGTTTTTTTTGTTGTTGTTTTGTTTGTATTAGGTAGAACTGCTTTGATTCTGTGTCTTGGTAGAGTGGCCTAATGTAGTAGGTGTCCTGTGGTGTCCAGTGGCCCAGCCTACCCTATCACCCAATTTGGGGACTCAAGGTGTGCTCACTGTGTGGGATGTGTACACCCTCCTCTTGTAGTTGAGTCTTGATTGCTGTTGGCACAACAATGGGAAGGATTTACCCAGGCCAGTCAGCTGCTAGGACTGGCTGTGACCTCTAATCACCAACCTCTGACAACTGTGGTGGATCATCTGTGCAGGGTCCCATTCCACAGAGTAGGACTTACATCAGCAGGGCCCTGGTGCACACTGAGTCCACCCCTTGAGTGAGTTGCTTGTGGAGGTGGTTGGGTAGTTGTGCTCCAACATTGGTCTGTAGCTGTCCACTGGGTGCTTAGGCTCAGGGCCTCCTGGGAGGTGTAGGCCAAGGTTTTCCACCAGCTGTGCTCTGCCTGGGGTCACCTGGTATAAGCTATAAAACAATCTAAAGAAGGCTGCTTCTTGTCCTGGACTTGGAGGTGCTCAGCTGAGGCCAATCTATGAACCAAGGCCAGCTGCTACTAGTGTCAGGCCAGGGGCTACTTAGCAAGAGGTACTGGGCTTGTTGAGGCCAGATGTTGCTTCTTTGAAAGGATTTAGGAGAATCTGAAGCATGAGCCAAGACAAGTCATTCGTATGGAAAAGCCACTGGAAACAGCTTGGGTGGGCTCAAAATTTGGGTTGAGTAGAGCCTAAGAGAATTACCAGGGTGTGGCAAACAGTGTGAGCCAGATCGATGGAGACTTAGATATGGTGCCTGCCTCCTGGCTCTGTGGGGAGAGTGCTCAGAAAAGGAACAATGGCCTTTGCCATCAGTTTTGTCTGGGAGGAAGCAGCCCCCAGATTTCACCCTGATGACAGACAATTTATTTCCTTCCTGTATACCTCTGGTGCCTTTCAAGCTGCTGCCCTGGTTCTGGTGTTCAGAGGGAGAGAACCTTAGTAAGTCTGTGCATGGGCCCTTTAAGAGGAACTGCCTGTAAATCCAGCAGTTTCTGTCTTCCAAAGCCTCAATTCCCACTTATTTTCACAGCCAGAATTTATGGGGACTTATCTTCCTGGCACTGGAAACCTCGGCTGCGGGGCCTGTGTGGGGCTGGGAGGCCTGTTGTGGGGCTGGGAGGCCTGTTGTGGGACTGGAATCCCTCACTCCCAAGATATCTCTCCCAATTTTTATCCACTTCATGTGGGTGTAGGACCAGCCCATTTGCATCTCTGCCCCTCCTACCAGTCTAGATGTGGTTTCTTCTTGAATTCCATAGTTGTAGGACTTCAATTCAGCTTGATTTCTGGTGATTCTGAGTAATGGTTGTTCTGTAGTTTAGAGGCAATTTTGATGTGGTTGTGTTGAGAAGCGAACTGTATTTACCTAGGCTGCCATCTTGGCTTTCTCCCAGATTTCCTGATTTTCGATGATTTCTTTAAAATGTGGTATTTAATGTCTATAACTTTAAATGAATAAAATTATTTAGAATAATCTGGATTACTGCCTTATACTAGCATTAACAGCTTTGTAGCCATCACCCTCATGAAGATATGCAATACTCCTAGCACCCAGCAGGCCTAATGCCTTGTGCATCTCAACTGTCAGATTCAACCAGGTTGTTGTACATTCATGCTCTGCATTGCATTTTCTTTTTGTATGAATATGTATTCATTCAGTAAGTTGACTTTATGGTATAAGTATTCCATTGTTTGCTTATTATTTCTACTGTGAACATGTGGGTTGTTTTCATTATCTGGCTATTAGTAATGATGCTGAAGCTGTTACCTTTAACACATTTCTCATTCTGGGGTCTGTGGACCTATTCTTCTGTAGCTGTGGCCAGTTTCAGAATCAGCAGATAATGGCATCATATGCAGTAGATTACTGCCCCCGCAATGTTTCCTGTTTTTTAAAAAATAATATCTTTAGTGAAACATAACTTATCCAATTAAAGTAGTTTCTAGCATACTCACAGGGTTGTGTATTCATCACACCAATCAGTTTTAGAATACTTTTATTACTCCAAAGGAAACCTTGTACTCATTGTCAATCACTTCTCATTTCTCACCATGTGCCCACACAATCTCATCCCTAGGTTACAGTTTGCACATTTCACATAAATACAATCAGACAATATGTATGGTCTTTTATTACTGGTGTCTTTTACTTACCATAATGTTTTCAAGGTTCACCCATGCTGTAGCATGCATCAGTACTTCCTATCTTTTTATTGCTGCACTTTTTATTATTTATTATCTTTTTATTTATGTTTCATTGTATGGATAGACCATATTTTACTTATCCTTATATTAGTTGGTGGACATTTGGATTGTTTCCACTTTTGGCTGTTATGAATGATGTTGTTATGGACATTCCTGTACGATATTATTGTGTGGTTATGCTTTTATTTCTTATGGGAATTGCCTTAGAAGAGAAATTGCTGGGTCATGTGGGAATTCTATGTTTAACTTTTCAAAGAAGTTACAGAATATGTTTTGAAGCAGCTGTGCCATTTTATAGTCATACCAATAAAGCACAAGGGTTTCAGTTTTTCCCCTTCCTTACCAATATTTTTTATTTTCTGTTTTTTTTTATAGCCATCTAATAGGTGTGAAGTGGTATTTCTTTGTGGTTTTGATTTGTATCTCCCTAATGACTAGGAATGTTGAGCATATTTTTATGTGCTTATTGGCCATTTGTATAGCTTCTTTGGAGGAATGTGTATTCAAATTCTTTGTCCATTTTTAAAATTGTTGTTTGCTGTTGTTAAATTATAGGAATTCTTTATATACCCTGGAACTAATCTCTTATCAGAAATATGATTGGAAAAAAATGTTCTCCAATTCCATGGGTTGTCTTTTCATTTTCTTAATAGTTCCCTTGGATGCACAGAAGTTTTTAATTTTGATAAAGTCAAAATTACCTATTCTTGATCTTATTGCTTATGTTTTTGGTATCATATTTAAGAAACCACTGCCAAATTAAAGATGATAAAAATGTATGTCTATAGTTTCTTCTAAGAGTTTTATAGTTTTTAGTATTACCTTTAGATCTTTGATCCATTTTGAATTAATTTCTATATATGATGTGAGAGAAGGGTCCAACTTTATTCTTTTGCATGTGGTATCTAGTTGTCCCCGCATGATTTGTTAAAAAGACTATTCTTTCTCTATTGAACTTTTTTTTGGCAGCTTTGTCAAAAATCAACTGGCTATAAATGTGATGGTTTATTTTTTGATTCTGAAACTTTCCATTCATTTATATTCTATCCTGTGCCAGTAT